ACCTCGTCTAACAAGTAATCTGTAAGGAAAATTTCTATGTTTTATAAACGGTTACATGGTAAACCTGTCTCAGGCAGTCAGTCTGCGCCCACACGACAGAACAACCGCTCGGCTGTCGAACACCTCACCCCTAATCGGCTGACCTCACACTATTACCAGAAAGGCTGTAGTGCTCCAGCAGCTTTGCATGAATATTGTTGTATGGGGAATATTACAAAGGATCTCTTTCCATAAATGGACTGAAAAATATGATTCAAAAATTTGAGGAAACTAGTAAGTTAGCTGTGGTTCCAGTTAGCTGTTGTGGAGGCCCAGGTGTAATCTGAGCTATTCAGTGTCTGGCATGTATCCCAAAATTTGCAACTTCCAGTGGCAACTATTAGAAAAATCCTAAAATTTATCCTGAAATGGTAGCAGATTCAGAGATTGCAACAGTTAGAACCATGTAACCCAGAAAAAACCTATGACTTCACTTTGTAGTGAGGATTCAGCTAGACTATATGTGGCCTTCAGATGTCTTATGGACTGATGAGGCTCACTTTGGAGCTGTGAATATGTTGAACTGCCAATTATGAGTATTTGCATATCCACATTCTATGCACCAAGTTACCTTGCACTTCGATTATATTACTGTTTGGTGTGGGTTCACTGCAAACATCATAATTGAAGAGGTGTAATGCCACAAGGCTCCATGCTTTGGACACTGAATGGCGAACGTAATACAAATATTCTTCGCAACATTATCCTAGCTTTGCAAAAGAGACATCATACTTTTAAACATCATAACTTTCATGCAAGATGGAATACCTCCTCATATTCGTGTTTTTCATGAACTATAGAGGGCACTGCATTTTTACAAAATGGCTATCTTATCTGGGTCGCCTGTAACTAGTAATGTAAAATTAATCATATATTACTGTCCGATAAATGATATATGCTGCTCGTAGCTGATCGAGAGATTTTATAGAACAATTATTGCTAGCGGGACACATCATTATGTGGTATGGAAACAAACGAGCGAGATTGTTCTATGCATATTTGTGCCCTTTGTGTTAAAAAACATCAGCTTTGACATCTATCCTATCAGGGCCAGATTTACAAAAAGCTATGTAAGTTGTTGCTTAGGGCCTCAAAATTTGTACAAAAAAGAAAATTGGAGTCAAATTTTGTAATAAACATTTTTTTACAAACCAACAAAATATACTTTACTTTTCATTTTGTGTAGTATTTCATTAATTTTTTTCCCTAAGAATTAACATGAGACCTTTTTTTAAAAAAATCGATAAAACCAATTTAAAAAAGATTTTTAACGGCATGAGTATAAAAATTTAATTAAATTCAGTTATAAAACATGACACTAGTGAAACCTCTCGTCTTTTTATTCCAATATCCGTATTAAATCGGAGACATGGTCTGATTTAATTCTTTTCTTTTTACGATTGACTTGTAAAATTGTGAAGGGTTGGTAAGGAGCCTTGCATAGTTCAACTTAGGGCTTCGAAATGCTTAAATCCGACCTTGTCTCCCACACAAAATTACTAGTATTTTAAACTTTAAGAAAATGTTTTAAAATTGACAGTGTAACTTGTTCCTGTAAAGCTGGACAATCGGGAAACTGCCAATTCTTAACAGTCTAGTCTACTTTTTCGGAATTCGGAGAAGCTCATAAATATGACCATAAATATAATCATCTGTTTTTCGTGTGGGAATAGACGAAAACTTATATTAAGCTCCCGTAAGGCTTTTAAATTGCAATTTGGAACGCAACAGTAATCTTTGCTTTTTTCTATCGCTTTTCGTCTTTACTGCTGATAATGCACAAGAATGAATCAAACGATCCAGATAGAATACTTTTTGTTTTTAAACATCCGGTGAAAAATGCGAATTGCATAGATCAGTGATGCAATTTGCTATTTGGGGACAATAAAATGATTTCCCAACTGCTTGCCCACCCCATTCTCCAGATCTCAATCCTTGTGACTCAACTGGTTAATGGAAAGAAAGCACTTTTTGCACTTCTTTCTGTTACACAGGTTGGATAGTCTCTTGCACAGAGCTATAGTGGCGTTTGTACTGCATCATGCCATATAAATATGCGAGAGCAGTCTTTTCACGATTGCAGCTGCTTGTTTATGCTTCAAGTCTCCATATAGTGCTTTGGAACTGGCATATGAAGTAAGTTGCATTAATATCCATAGATATCGAGGAATGAAATTCTCCTGGCAATCTGAGTGACATCCCCATACACCGACTCTGCAGTTAGGCTTCAGTATCTTTCACTGAAGTACCAAAGCACCATCAGAAATCAGTAAAATGGACCTTTAGAGAACTGGGATCACAGAACATTTCAAGTGACCTACAGGCCAAAAATCAACTGTTGGGAATGCCACATTTAGATTAAAGTATTGAAGTTTAATAATTTGATACATTTAGGTTCAAAATTTTCTTATTTGTTCTCAGATAATAATATACATGTTTTTGTTTACAAGAAACAAATGTATGTCAAATGATATTTGATTATTTTTTTAATTTATTAAATTAAAATGAAGAAATCTGATGACATTTACAAACACTATCACATTTTCTTTCATTTGAAAATTGTTCAATGCTAGATATGTTGATGACAATTACGTCATGTACTGTACCGACCGGACCGAATGGACTTCTTATGGAGTTTCAAGAACAAAGCACACGGCTTCTCTGCAGGTAGAAAAGCAAAGTTATTTCCGGACACACTTCCTGGACCTACTAATTAGAGTATAACATGGACAGCTGACAATGAAGACATGTTATAAGCAGGGCTGTGGAGTCGGAGTCGGATGGTAAGGAAAAGTCGGAGTTGGAGTCGGTAGATTTTTACGCGACTCCACAGCCCTGGTTATAAGACACCTACCGTCCACTCTTCATTCCGGTACAATCTCATGATCCATTTGCTTACACGAAGGTGACCTTTAGAGCTCTAATTAGAAGAGCTTTCATGCATCGTTCCTTATCACAAGATATGGAAGACAAGTTACGTTACATTGCAGCGTTAGCCAAACAGCACGCTACTGCATGGCCCTAATTAGGGCACTTATACAACAACAATCAAAACAATAGATACATAGATACACCATTACAATTGGGATATGTGACCTCTGTATATGTTGGATAGGAACTTTAACAAGTATCTTTTCAACATATACAGAGAGATTGCACAGTCCACTAAACTCAAGATAGCATATAGGAGAAGCTTACGGTCTTTTCGTCGATCAAGAACAAGGACCCAACAGAGAGGTCTCCTAAGGCAATGGCGTAGATACCCAATAAAATATCTACACCACTCCCTTACGAGACCACAGGGTAAACTGTTCCCGCGAATACTTTGATGCTACTGCCGCTAAAGCCTTTCCACGAGGATTAAGGAATACGAATATAGCGTTAAGAAAGGACTTTCAAACACTGTAACGGCTACCTTCACACGCGATAACAATGTTCGAGTCAAGATCGACACGGTGCACATTTACACCATTCTTCCAATCCGTACCCTGTCGAGTACCTCGAATGCATAGAAATCTAAAAGGCCTTTAAGAAACGTACAGTTATCAGTTATAGAGACGAATTCTCTTTCTTTGTCGTGGAAGACACTAAGAGCTCACATAGTTCTCCATAATAATAATATATATAAAAATAGCAATTATTATGTTTTAAATAACTTATTTCCTTTTTTTGCAGCTGCCATACTGGGCACGTGCAGGTTTCCAACTACCGGAAGTTTCGATTTATATTACATTCTATTTTTTAAAACATGTTTCATTTTGCACTCCGTAAATGTAACCAGAAGACGTGCATTTGAAAACGGAAGAAAGCCTTTGTTTTATTAAATTTGTCGGAGTTTTTTTTCTGGTTTTCGGTGCGATAGTGTTTATTTGGCAAAATATAGTTTTTTCTCATCTTCGTCACCTCATATTTGCAAAAATAATTTCTATATGCAGCATATTGTTAAAAATTCTTTTAATACATAACCACTAAAAGTAAAAATATTCTTAGAGTATTTTTTACTTGTTTTTAACTATCTACTTCCGACTTCGAGGACAATACAAGTCAAAAAGACAAACAAATGACGAGAAACAAACTAAACTTCCTTATTACCAACACTTTTATTCCATAAATGATATATTCCAAATGCATTTCGCCTCTCTAGTGGGCCTTATCAGTGAATATCCACTGATGTTTGTCTAAGAATATTTTTATTTTTAGTGGTTATTGAATATACCGATCCCATTGCTTTTAATTTTGTAATACATTTCATATTAATTTTATAATAATGAAAGTTTGCCCGATTAAATAATTAAAATTTTATTTCTTACGTAAGAAAGTGCGTAATTTTCCCCCAGCTACCACCGTGAGGGTCACGTAAAAATATTAAGCGCAAAGAGGGCCAAAGGTCATAAAACACCACTTCAGAGCAGATCATCATTCGATGGCCGTTTTCGACAAGCCGCGGTACGCACATGCCCAATACCCGAAAGTCTGGCCACACATCAGAATGGAGATTCAAACCGTTTGCCTCGATCGATAAAGCCAAGTTTTGGGGTAACGAAACTCGCCTCTCGGTCGTAAAATGCTCGAGCATCCGTATCTGCCACCACGTCGCCTCTATCCGACGCACGAACCCGCATCACGGCGAAATGGTATCGGAAACCCCCGAATATAGAATTGCAAACTGCACCCGGACGTAGCGGACCAAGTGCAGCTTGCAAGCAACATTACGTAGGACTTACGTTGGCGGTTCTCAGCCCGTCGATACGGGATGCAGGTTTTTAACCCAAACTTGCACACCCTTCTTAATAGAAGGTCAAACAAAATCATTTTATGCCGGGGCATAAATTCTAGCACCGGCTTTCTGCTTGGGTGTGCTATGCACTATCGAAAGGCAAGTTTGCGAAACTCCTCCGAAAGATAAGGACAGACTCCGTCGTTCGACTTGTCGCAATAGAAGGTTGCATCTATTAGTGTTAGTCGCAGTCGTCCGCCTTAGTGGTAACTGCAAAACTTTGTCTTTCTTGGCGCATCTATTCCTTTGTGATTTGTTCTCCGGCCCTGAAAAAAAATTGCTAGTATTAAATTAGTTTACTTTTTTGGTCTGTTGTCCTCGTCAGGAATGGACTGAGGAAAATATAGATTATCACGAAATCTAGACACCTCCCCGATTTCATCCCCCATTAACTCCTAAAGCCTTTGTCCGATGCGGCCCACCAGTGGCCGAGCGGTTCCGTTCCTCGAATACTGGGAGTTCGGTCTTGGGTTGGCGCCTGGCCGGGACGGGACGGGCCAGCCACGTGGAGTTTTCCGGGTTATCTCCACGTCTGTAACGCCCGAATAGGTGCCACTTATCCTTAAAAAGACCTTCCGGAAGTCATCCCCTAGGCAGATCGCCTAAGCGTTGCGTTGCCGTAACTTAATTAACAAACGAACTTTGTCCGATGCGCACCAAATTTTTCATAGCCTACTTACATCTGTGAGCTCTGAGGAAAATATAGAAAATCACGGAATCAGATTTGATCTCCTCGACTCTGGAAAAATCGTAAGCTAATATAACCAAATCTGTAATGTGGTTTTTCATTTTTAAAGTTTAGCCATTTTACTATTCGGACCGGAATGCCGGAAATATTTGCTGGTTAATAAAAATAATTACGAACTTTAATAAAAACAAATTTCCATTCGTGCTCATCGGTCGGCTTTTTGTCAGTTTTAAGTTAGTTTTTTGACTGTAATTTGAAAAAATTGTAGACTTATAAATACACACTGTCGTTCCTTAGTCTCGAGAACGGAGTTAGACGAAAACGGACCAGATACGGAAACTTCGGGGGGCAGGAGGCCCCGATTAACTGGCCTATATACGAACTTTCGATGCAAACCGGAAGTCACATTATTTGAATTCAAAACTTCCCCCAAAAGGAGCTAGATAGATGACCAGCAAAACTTCATTGCTAATAGAAAAGTATGACATACAGGGCAAGCCACTACTAATTTGAGGTGGAGAGCATATATTTTTTTAATTAAAAAGTTATTAAAAATATGGTTAAATATTGCAGTCCGTCACAATAAATAAATGCTCGTTTGTTTTGAGTCATTACTCGTTTGGTTAAGTTATTCTGTTCTGTTACTTCTCTCCAGCTCGGGCCGTTTTAGGATTGGGCCTCTGTTAACATATAACTCCGTCTAGCTTTTGCCTGGCCGCATTCAACATCGGCGTGCGCCACAACTCGGGTTTTCGTTCGGGCCTTTCGGGGAATAAACGAAAACCCGAGTTTTCGGCCCGCCAGCCTAAAAACTACACGTCGAGGGAGCCATAACCAAATGTACAGTACGCCCCACAGAATGATCCATTCTTTCTGTCCCCGATGTCTATCTGTCTTCTTCCTCGTCCCCTTTCTTTCACCGGCCAAGCACCCGCGAACAGCATCACATGACCTTCGGGGTTCGAATCCACCCGAAGGGCTCTATAGGCACTCTCGGAACGCGCCGAGTGGCACCGGACATCCGCGTCGGACTGGGATCCCTCCGGGCGCCTGTTTGGTCCATAGTAACGGAGAGTCCGAGAAACAGAACGGCCCAATCGTTTCGGGTGACCGAAATTCTAATGCTGGCTCTCCACTCGGTGTGATTTTCGGGCATTCGATCGCCTTTGTCGATGCTCGTGCGCAGGGAAATCGGCTTCGTACTTTGGCCACAGAGTACTGGGACAACGTATGTTCTCGCCTTTCTATCGCAGCCAATCGACACGCAGCATTCATAATTTTAGGTGTACGCGATATCGTATTTTACTCGTCGTCCTTAGCACTATATACAGCGTGGTGTGAAAATTTCGAAAAGGTGCAAAAATAGCAAATATTAGATTTTCAAAATTAAATACAAAATTAAAATGAAGTTTTATAATTTTCAACTTAAGTCGAAAGTTTTCCGCCATTTTTTTAAAATTCCCGTAATTTATTGGCAATAGCCTTCCATTTCGCGTAAAGTGCGTAGGCACGTAGGGTAGCGATTGCATGGCCATACAAACAATCGGGTGACGGCGACGCGATGGAGTCAAGCGGAGAGCCGGCATTAACGGGAACCATCCGGTCTGGCAAATGTTTAACGTCGTTTCCGCATACGCAAGAAGGGCAATTCGATAGGGAGGAAGACACAAAATTATTCGGAAAATGCTGTTCATTTAGAACAGGGCTTCTTAAACTTTTTTTATTCACGACCCCATTTATGATTGTGATTTTTTTTCGTGACCCCCAAAAATATAAAATAAAGATGTGTACAAATTTGCGAAAACAATAATAGTGTACTACCACAGTTCACTGTTGTGTTACAATGGAACAGAGACAACTGAATACATTGAAAAGCGACAACACTACACTAGTTCACACTACAATCAATGTTGCTGAATCGTCGTCCCGCTGCACCAGAAGTGCACAACTCACGAAACCTATGACACAAAGCGTGCCATTTTCAAACTCTCACAAATTATTTTCAATATTTTGCATTAAAATCTCGCGACCCCAAGATTTCGCTAAGCGACCCCAAATGGGGTCATGACCCATAGTTTAAGAAGCCCTGATTTAGAAGAATAAACAATACAGTGGGTGATCGGTTAACGAATAGTTCGGACTGCGAACATATCGGACAACGAACACTTTCACGAAAGATTTTAATACTCCGATAACGGATAACGAATACCTCACAGAACAAACCAACAAGAAGCGACGTAAAATAGTGAATGCCGATTGGTCTTCCCTTGTAATTCCAGCCTTTTGTTTACTTTTATGACAAAGAATTTTTTAATAGTTTTCATGAGACTGTCGGGAACTCGTTAAGTTCTGTGTCGGATTTTATTTTCGAAATGCGAGCGTTTAACTGCCCCATCATCCGGATATTCGTTAACGTTTTAACACCAAATTTCGAATTTAATCCGGGCCTCGCATTTTTGTGCGCTAGTTGATTTCTGCTCTCTGAATTTTTGTAAGTGCTTTTCTGAACTTTTTATTTGAAAAAGAAATTGATAATATAATGGAGTTTAAAAAGAGTGGAGTCAAGAACTGTGTTCACTATAGAACTCAAGCAAGTGATAGAAGCAAGGTAGAGAGTGAGCAGATGTCTGATGTTGCTAGGCAGTATGGCTTGAACAGATCTACAGTAGGCACAATCTTAGTTAAGATAGTTATAATCAAGAAGACTCAAGCATGTAAAGGAGTAACGAAAATCACATCTGAGAAACAAAGAATAGCTCATAATGGAACCTGAAACTGATCTGACGACAGAAGAAACTCAGCGAGATTTGTTTTCTTTGAAAAAGAGGAAGACGAAAGAGGATCAATGCCGACATCTGCTATTAAAGATCTTTGGAGGATGTGAGAACAACGGTAGTAGAATGGCATCCTAACCAGGTTGAGGTTAATAGGCTTGGAGATCTCTAAAACGACAATTCTATTAATTACTTCCGAAAAATCCTGGAGAGAGAAAAGCGATCGACATTGGACAAATCCTTTAAATGCAGTCTTCTAGTTATCATTACGTTTCCGCTAAAACGTGGTTTGGTCGGAAAAAGACGGCGGTTATACTGCGTTTAATAAGAGGAGAACAATAGGCGTACGATGGTCGTCGGTTAAACATTTTGGGAAGTTGGTGTGTTCGACTCCGGAGAAGGGCACTGCACCGAGAGTTCTCAAGTAAAAGGTTTGAATAAGTCGCCTTTACCGTGGATTCTCCCTGAGAAAAACCGCCAATTATTTTCCATTTATAAGGAACGTGGCGTTTACACCTAGCATACGGACTGGAGTTTCCCCAAGTGTAATAAGCGTACCCCGGTACATGGCAATTTTTCGGTTACTCGGTTACGTATCGCCGACGCGTAGAATCTATATTAAGAAAAAAAAATGACAACTAAAAATGTATAGTAAGATATATGCTGTATATATGACATATCTTACTATACATTTTTAGATAAACGAGCAAATATTTATTGTCACATGGTCACAATGTCGAGCTGTAATTTTTAATTTATTTAATTTAAAATATATGCTCTCCACCTCAAATTAGTAGAGTCTTACCCCGTACAATCATATTTTTCCTTTAGCAATGGAGTCGTGCTGGTTATCATCTAACTTCTTTCGGGGGAAAGTGCTTGAATTGAAATAACATAAGTTAATCAGGGCTTCTTGCCTCTAAAGCTTCCATATCTGGTCTCGTCTTTTATCTTTCTAACTCCGTTCTCGAGATTAAGGAAAGATGGGTTGAAATTTTTTTTTTCAAATTGCAGTCCAATAAGAATGTTTGTTCGCTATACACTCCTAGACCCGAAAGTTTTGTGTCAATTTATGACAGCTTGCCCTGCCCGTACGATAGTATGTTGGAAGTAGAACGGCGATTCTTTAAAAAAGTGGTATTTACGGTCTGCTTTCTTGGCCTCAGCACATTTTCCCATCTTTCGGAAGCATCGAGTAATCTTTACCTTCTGTAAACTGGAAAAACTTCTTCGCGTGTCGACGCACACGTGATTAACGTTTAGTCTTAGTGTCAATCGTAAATTGTTAGGAGAATTAAAAGAAATTCGAGTTCAGTCCGTCGATCCCACTCCGCCCAATATAAGTTTGTGTAGTTTGCGTGCCGCCCTCCGGGCATTATATAACTTTCTTAGGAATGTTTCCATCTGGAGGGGCGATTTTATCACATACTCTGCGAGTAATGCCGTTCCACCGAAGTTTTGCACCATTCATGACTATAAAATGCAAAATTGGTCTCTATCTCGAAGAATATGTAGAATGTGCGAGCGACTCAAAGATACCACCCGTGCAACGGAACGTAATCGTAAGCAAACGCTCGAAAGATAACGCCACCTCTTGCCAAAGCGGACTTTCTTCGAATACAGTAGTTGGCCGGAGACTGGAATTGTTTCTAAAGAAATTCCACTCCGACCGACTAACGGTAACATTCTTACATCGAAAGACGGGCCAGTCGATTCTTAAGTTGACGACGTAATTTCTGCTACAGATTCCTTAAAAAACGTACCAATTGCGGAAAACACCGATCTCAGTTCTGCCGGACACGTCTTCGACACGCAGTGGCGTACCGTGGGTGTCAGCCGCCCGGGGCGGAGGAAAATTTCGGTCCCCCTCTTATTTAGGTATTTCAATTTAAAAGACCAAAATTCAGTTTTGTCGCAGAACAAGCAATGAAAAATTCGGTGGTAGTGCAGCGACCTGTTTAAAATGGATATTAGTGGTGTATATGAACGCGAATGAATCGTACAAGCAAAGAAAAAAAAAGTCAACAGGTTTCGCAGGATTTCCTCGGATGACAAAATTACTAGTTCACCCGGCGGCGAGCCGATTCCCGGACTGTCCGGACGATACCACTATCGTAGGTGCGATGCAAGTATAGATTAGGATGTTTCAAATTTTTACAAGATATTATTATTATTTATTGTGAAATTTTGCCGCCCCCACTACGGTACGCCACTGTCGACACGGGATGCTGTTTGAAAAGGAAAGATGAACCATTTCGCTGTTTTGGCAAGAACGTGCAAGCTACGACATGATTTGTCTAAAACTTTTTAACAAAGTTTTAGACAAATCATCTCCAAAATTCGATATGGCCGAGGGATCGACGCGGTCGAATCCGACAATTGGCCAATAACCATCAGTCTATCGTTCTTCCTGGAAAAGACGGTGTCCGGTAATCGCTTTACCGGAATCCCGGCAGGCAAAATCGACAGAAATTTCGAAGATTTATTTTCACATCCAGACATTCTGTCGACAAAACAATTTAAATGGAAGACTGGAAGACTCGACCGCTTCCGGGTGAAAATACTCACCAAGTGCCAGCACTGTCAGTCATAAAAGTTTTTAAAAATAATGCTCCTTATATCATACACCCACACGGAAAGTCTGCTGCGAACGAGGAATGTTCGAGTGATAATGAAAATGATGTAACTGTCGTAGCTTTCGCGAGGGGACGGCATGACGTGGAGGTCACCGATTTCGATATAGCGCATCCTCGACGATCGACGCCTGCCGAGCAGTCGAGCGCACTAAATTAAACAAGAAAATTACATAATGGTTTAAAATCTCGACATTTCTATTATTCGTAGAGTGGCCGCTGCTCTGCGGGGCGCACATGTCTTCCCAAATAAATTATAAACAAACATATACGAATTCCATACATAGGCCTATAGGCCCGGTAAAGCGAATATTCGAAAATTACTTTAAAATACCGAAAGTGAAAATTATAGTTTTAAAAGGGGGAAATAATCCACCAATTCGAAGCGCCGACCCGCTAATTACGAAACCGGCGGGCAATTTTCTTCCTTAATTTTGGTTAGTGCGCCTCGCCGCTTGGCACACGTCGGTCGTCGGGATGCGTGTATCGAAATCGGTGACCCCGATGTCGTGCTGTTCCCTCGTTAGACTAGTAACGGATGCGGAATAGATAAATTTGACGTCACCAAAACTAAGTCTTTCGGCACTAAATCCGAAATGCAAGTTGACGTTTTCGAGAAGCGCATGGAACGAGAGAAGGGAGTGGGTAAAAAAATCAAAGGAAGTGGAAAGAAAGAAAACGAATGTATCGAACTAAAGAAGGAAAAAGAGCAAGAAGTTTCCACAATTTGGCCAAACGAGAAACGAACCAAACTGAAGAGGAGCCACAATCTCTGGAAACGGTGCGACGCATTCCGTTTCTCGACAATGCTCGGTTGTAAACTAAGTCACGTTCTCAATAAAAACTTTGATTGACAATCGATACTTTATTCATCGAAATTACATTCTGTACGATTGTTACGCTGTAAGACGCGGTCTGACATTACGGTTTCTAAAGAATACGTCGAAAATATACGGTGGGGGAAATCTGTCAAAGGGGTATTTCCGGACACTTTCTACAGAAACCCGTTTAGGTGTTAGATAACGGGAGGATCGTCGCCTTACCTTTGTAAAATATACGCGGGAAAAATATTTGAATGCGACAAATGCACTATTATACGACATTTAAGAAATCTCTCGGTCCCATCGGCTGCGTTAAGGGCACCAGTGCAAGTTTGCGCGTTGTAATTGGAGCATCGGCCACAGCTTCGTTAAACGCGGCGGTAACGTATCCAGCGTCATTCTCGAGTATTTGGAACGGGCGCACGTTTAATCACCGTCCGAACGTGACTAAACATTTAAGTTATATATCATTTAAATAACATAATTAAGCATTTAATTTAATTAAATGTTTCGGATCCGCCGTTAACGAATGCAGTACGCAGAGAGGGGGGGGGGTTTCCGATAAAGGAAGAATTGACATTCTCGCAATTAAGACAAACAATCGGGACCCTCACGCATCGATCCTCCGTCCAATTATTATAAGGAATAACTCGGGATACCGTGAGTCGATAAAACGCCGTGGTTATGCCGCCCCTTTCCCCACCGAAACACTTCCGGTTTGAGCGCCATCCGGGCTCGGGATAAAGCGCTCAAAAGGGGTAGACTGGCGAAAGTGACGCGGCTTATAAAAATCAATAAGTATAAAACCGAAGGGGCGAGAAGGTGATTATCGGTGACGTCGAATGAGAACGTAAAGCAGAAATTGACGAGGAATAATTACCTGCTGCTGACAACGACGGCACGATTGATGGGCCAATAATCCGTCAATCCGTCATCCCCGTGATATCTCCACATCCGAATTTTCCGGATAAACCGATCTTCGACACTTTTTTTTTATCTGAAAGAATGTAAAGTTACATTTAATGCGTAGACATTTTTTAAAGTACTGTACGTGACACTCGACTCTACAATTTTAAGGCTTCTACGTATTTTCGTCGCGTATTTTTGCTAACTTCGTGTTAACTTAAAGGTATTCTTTCGATTTTTTACGGATTCTTTTCCGAAGACAATAAGATTGATAAAAAAAAAGCGCGTTACGGACGATACGTTAATTACAATTAACTTGATTTTATTTATAATTAGAAGACGTACGTTTTTATAATTTTTTTTTATTAATGTAAAACATTTCTTTCCGTTTGCCGCGTATAAAAAACAAACATCAACGCGCAGAAACGATGGTCCTCACGCGCGTCCGTGCCGGTGACGATGGTTCGTTTCCGGTCGCCTTGTGCCCATAATCCTTGACATTCTGTTCCACAACTCCTCTGGGGGGAGGTTAATGACCCGAGATCGAGATGGCGCGACCCCGGTCGAAGAACCCGTGTGTTGTCGGAGGATAATAGAATCGACGCAGCACGAATTACGTAAAATGTAAACGCGCGTACCGACTTACGTAATACGTATTATAACAATATGTTGGGCGCGCGATGTTACGTCGAGAGCTCGTTCACAAGTCACGTCTTTCGAAATGCTTAAACAAACCTAGAAAGTTACGTTACCTCATTTCGATAAAACAATTGTGTGCGCGTTTGTCTAACACAACATACACGTAATTATCCCATGGATACGAGGCAATATAACTTCTAGAATTCTTACAAAATTACTTTTCTGACGATTTAACAGAAGAATCGACATTCCAACGCGGATTACTTAGACATTTCCGTTGTAATCGTCTTAAAGAACATCGGGAGTGCGGAACGGCCAAACGTATTTTCGATTTTTTTTATCATCATTCGTGTCATATATGAATAATTCTACACTCGTAACCGAAACCACGCGTAAAGAATTACACGAGTCGATCGGTTTTCGCTTTATAAGCTTAGAGAATTAAGAAAGAAGCACGCTTAATCGGAAAAGAAACGATTCCTTCCCCCTTAGAAAAAACCTACTCCATGTTTTTTGTTTTAATTAAAAATGCAAATGGAATTAAGTAAAATGGAGAAAACTTGCGGGAAAACTCGATACTTTCGTTTAAAAATCTCTTACGGAAAGGAAGATTCGACAAAGTAATTCGTTTTTGTACACGTTTCGATTATTTCGACCCAACGATTTTAAATGAAGTGACGACTTGTGGATAGTTCTGTGCTTTTTGAAATAAAAGTCCGAAGTGGCGTCGATTTTATTATGTAAAAGTCACGAAAGCAACGGCGAATGTGAATATATTCGCGACGTTTATTCAGTTACGAAGTTACGTGTTTTTATTTAGCACAATTGTCGACGGTGGTAAAAGCCGGCGTAACATGCCAGCTTGTGAAGTTACGCCACGCTTGGCGTATATCGTTCGAAAGGTTAAATAACAGATCTTTAGATTGTCTAGTGAAGTAACTTCCAGTGCTGCTATTGTAGATAATAGCTTATCAATAAGAATAAACAACATACATTTCTAACGATAAATCGAGTAGATACTTAGAGAGGCGTTGACAAATTTGAATGAAATTCTATTCCAAAGACCCCTATTTTACGTCATTTTACATTACATCCGTTGTTTACTCGATGTAAAAAATAATAAAGAACATTATATACGGGGCTGCCCGAAAGTCTTAACCAGGGTGTGTATTTTTAAGATGGTTAATTGATTTTTGGCCCTCTCTATATAATAGCGAGGTTGAGGCCGAAGTTTTAAACACGAAAACGTGTACTGTACGTCGGACGTTCAGCGCCGCTTTCCTGTAAACCTAGAAGTTTTACAATGGTGTCAATGGAATCATGCTCGACATTCCAAACACCATTGTCAAACTTTTAGGCTTACAGGAAAGCGGCGCTGAACGTCCGACGTACACGTTTTCGTGTTTAAAACTTCGGCCTCAACCTCGCTAATAATGCTAATTTCGAAGTTCGTCGACTAAAATACACTTAAAGTTACGGCTGCGCATGACATCGGCCGTATAATCCAGCGAGTAATTTACGTTATCCTCTAAAGTTACGCGTACGCGTAACTCGTAAAATAATAGATTAACTCCGCGTATCGATCTCGACGAACACCAAAAAACCTATTAGAAACGTAATTGGACGTTTCCATTTTTCAATTGAAGGTCCAGAAAAGAAAATATTTCAAAGTTCAATCGTTTATTTGTACAACAGATTGTAGCACGACAATTGACAATGTAGGACAATCGATTTAAACGCATTTATCTCGTCGAAAATAATTACAATTTTTCATTTCTCTTAATTATAATGTTTAAAAAATCTATTTAAATTAATAACTGTACATAAAAATTAGAATGTAGACGACAAAACCGTCAATTTTTCCACCTTATTTTTCACTTCGACGAACCGTTAAACCGCCCAAAATTCCGAACAAAAGTTTAGTTTGGCCAATTTTCATCGAGCTTGCACCAAAAAAGGCGCATTAAATCGAGAATTTTACTGCCAGAGGCGTATAAAACTCCTCCTCTCAATTTTGTACCCAAATTTCAGAGTCCGAGTCACGTTACGTCCGACCAATCGAAGAAGGCGTCATTTAAGGATTTACGAATAAAGTAAACTTTCATTGGCCAAACGTAACGTAACGTAAGGACGACGACTAAGACGGGTATCCTTCGTAAAACAGTTTTAAATTGTATAAAAGTTACCGTAGCTTTATTTTCGAAATTTCTACATAATGTAGGAGAAAACAATTCTTGTAAATAACACGGAACGGTACATTTGCTAGCAGGCCGTAGAGGCTAATATGGCAAACAGTTTATGCTCGTCCAGATGTTTTCTACAATAAAAATAGGTCTGTATGTACTGTACCGCGTGTTGCTATAGAGACAAAACAATGCTTACGTTATTCGGTCGACGTTACACGCGTACGAAACTGCAACGGCGCTAATTAAACGATCGATATTTTTGTGAGACTCCGCATCAATCTTCGTCCGAATTTTGCGAAAACGTTTCCGGTAGTAAAAAACGTTTTAATAATTAAATCCGTCGGTAGACGACTTCGTTCGTGAATTTTATTTTCCCGGTCGTTATATACGACACGGAGAAATTACGGCCGTCAGTCGAAAATGACCCCACCCCAGATTTTTACAGTTTTGGATTCGGAGTTCTCGAAACGTCGAGAAATATAAAACAATTCGGGGGTTTTTCTGTATGGATGGATGTGTGTGTATGCGGAGTGGGCATGATTTTCATCATCCAATTTGAAGCTTAATAATTCTCGTGAAATTTTCTATGGAGGTCTGTGTATTGGGGGATCGTCGCTATTAAACTTTGGCGGTTAAAGGTCGAGGGGGGTCGGACTTAACCAAGGTTTTATCCGCTATAAGCATTTACAATTTATTATAAAACTCTCGAAATTAAATATTTTGTCATTTTAATAATAATATAAATTTTTTTTAAAATAAAAGCTCGTAACAGATGGCGCCACATACGATTTTAACTTTGTTGCTGGGAAAGTTACTCAACCGGTGGCTGGATTTTATAAGTCAGTATACCGACAGAAAACGTTCGTCTTCCGCATCGAATGACGTTTTCTGTTGTTAATTTAATAATCGGAAAGCAGGTTTTTTTCTGCCATTCGAAATGTTATAAATCCCATAAAAATCACAGTTTATACGAGTTTTTTAGAGCCGGAGCCATGCGGTCGGGCGCGCAATCGATTTTTGTTGGTAATTAAGGAGCGGAGTTAATACATAAAATTTTCAACGTTTTCAAAATTCTACGTATAATACAGCGCCACTCGGTTTATATTTATTTTATTTATTTAATTAAGTCTGGTTTGACGTGAATCACATACTTCCCCGTCTCGTGACAGTCGTCCCACGCGGTCACGAGATTCTTACTTCCTGCCGAGGGCGGTTGCAAAATAACTACCGTCGGAAAGGATCCGGTAGGAAAATGGCGGAAGAACCTTGGAGAAGATTGACTTATTAAAAATAATTCGCATAAATTTCGGCCGATCTTCGAAGGGGATCTCTCGTTAGATTCGATTGTGACGAATCGCCTCGTTTCCTGTGTTACGGCACTCGGATGGGATTTAAGGGTGGAAAAGTTGGTTTAATTGATCAAAAGCAGCAGCCGTGAGTCATAAATTAAGCATTCGCAAAGTGTTCTTAATTAGGGGACGAGGAAATAGAATCTTGTAAATAGTAATAAAAAAAGTATAATTAACGATAAATGAAGGAAGGAGAGGAAATTTGGCGATATATCTATATATCACCAAACTTCCCCTCCAATATATATACATATATATATATTTTTTTTTTGCTCAAAGACTTTAGTTACACGTATCGAAGTTCATATTTTATGGGGTGCAGAATTTAAAACGCAAGATGCTACACGGGAATCGAGTGAGAGTAAAGGGATATCCCGAGATTCTATTACTAGTTAAGGAATGTATGTCACGTATCAAGGCCATTCAACTCTTGTTTTATACACTAGAAAACACTACAAACTCGATCCAGGGGGTTAAGCACGGAACCGCGAAAGACGAAATCAATTTAAATACGACAGAGTTTAACTCCTCTTTAAAAAAAAAAAAAAACACACGAAAATGTGACCGCGTGAGACAATATTTCCTGGGAAAATGTCGTTTGCAGAAAACCCTTTTCGACTTTTAATGATACTGTAAAATTTTACGAGCTATTACTCGTAAATATCAAGGGGGAACGGCCCGAGAGAATTAACAAATAGAGTACGAGTGCAGTAACCTATCCGGGTAGAGGTGGCCCGGTGTCGTCCTATTACACAGTTGTTGTGTGTAGCTCCAGATGGGAACAGGTGGTAGGTAGTAACAGTTATCGTATTAATGAATTTCCCAGTCTCTTTCAATTAAGTTTATTATTTTTTGGATTCTAAAAATATACCTACAAAAAAAAAGGTCTAGTAAAATATAATGGGGCGCGTTAAAATTTCGTTTTGTACGCTTAAAACTGCTCTTTTGGACCGGAAAGCGGAACTTTAATCGTCGATGATTTTTCACTCCAAATACTGCAAATAATGTAATATCTCGAGGAGCGAGAAGCACGATCGGCCCTCTCATCGGTCTGGCTCCTACGTTCCATGCATTAACGCTGGTAGGTCGGAAGGGACGACACCAAAACACTATTTTGTATTCATTAATTTATTAAGAAACGGAAAAATATTAATCTCGCGCCATTTAACAATTACGAAACTTAAAATACACGTACGGCTTTTAAGCTAGTTTTATAACGCTACACTTATCCCACCCCGTTTCTTTAAGCTCTACAACATCGTTAACATACGAACTTTACACAACTGACAGATAAGTCGATTGAATCAATTTTATGTAGGCCACACTGACAGCTAGACGGAGACGAGTTTGCACGCCTCGCCACAATTTTATCACCGTCTTTTGATACAAGTTTACAATATTTTATTCGTCGCATAGACAACTATACTCACGTTACTCCTAAAGTCACAATAGGGTCAACAGAAATTCTTTAGAGGGAGATAGGCGTAAAATGGCATTTCTGTCAACGGCGTAACGATAACTTTTACTAATTTTTACGTAACTGTTCATAAGTGGCCGGAGCAGAAACTTCTCCAGGAATACTTCGCTAAACTTCTTTCAATATTGACTAGCGCCGAAGTATTCATGAATTCGTCAAGCGTGAAATTTCGCTTTAGAAATAAGAAAAGTAACCATAAAGTCGTTCCCATTCGAGACGTTTAATGAATTACGCCATTCAACGTCACCGGAATCTCCACGGACCTCGTCCGTCTTTAAAGGATTCTTCCGAATCTAACCGTTCCTCGTATGTTATTATTTCGTTCCCTTTAAAGAGGTTAGAAGAGTCGATCGTTAACGATTCTGCGACGTGTAACGACGACACTGGTTTATGCCGAGTGGCAACTGCTACTTATAATAATAAATATAAATAAATAAATAAATACGGTTCTACAATAGTTACGCGCCGTAAAAAGCTTATAAACGTCGTACCGAAAATGTTTTTCTGCGTAACGACGGTGGAAAAGAAAAGAAAAAAACCTGCCGATCCGGTGTAACGTCGTTATGAGTAATAGCAGAAAACACGCGGTCCTCCATTGAAAGGAACGAGTCTGTCTCCTCTAAAGAACAGAGTACACAGGCTGTTGCACCTTAACAAAAACGTGCAGATTCCGTTCCACAATTCCCTACGCTCTGGTCTACGACAAAAAAAAAAAAAAAAAAAAAAATTCGAATTTTAATTAAATCCGATAGCTTACGACGTAAAATATAACGGGACGTGCGTTTGTCTTTAGTATAAACGCGCGGAAAAAAAAACCATTAATAGACTTTTGGGCCACCCGGTACGTACGCCCAATCTGCGAATTTCGATGGCGTGAAATACGCGCGTATCGTTAGAAAACGTAATTTTTTCCATCCGTTTAAACAACGTGTCTTGTTGGAAAATGTTTGCGTTTACCGAAGCGTAGGCGACGTCAGAGGGCAAAATTAATGCATGAGCATTACGCGAGGGACCAAAACACGATCTGACATTTATCGGCCGTTCGATAGAATAAAATTTAAAAAAAATAAAAAAGGAAGGAGCAACGATATTGCATTTTTTTGGCAAAGAGGAGAGGCGAAGACGGGAGCGCGACATTTGCAGAAGCGATCAATGGACCACGTCCTACATTTTAAAGTATTAAAAATCGACTTTAATTATGAAACGCGGCCGCGGTCGGTGCGCAAGGACGAAATTAAAAACACGAGAAAATAGTAAACACCAGCTCCACCCAACAACTCATCGGTCGTCGGTGGGAAGTTAAAAAGAAATATCGAACTGGTCGGGGCACGTGTCCGTCGCCTCTTCCTCACCCTCCTCCTCCTCTTTCCTACCAATCGACCGGACGGATTCAACCGTATAGAAAGGGAGAGATTATCGGGATGAGGGGGAGCGGGATGTTCGAAAGAGCGCGTAACCATCCGCCGCGTGTGGCAATCACGTGGTCGCCGTTTAACTATTCCATCGATCGGTTTTCGAACTTTACCGGTGGTAAAATCGACGGGGTGGACGGAAAATCTCCGTTTTATGGTCGGGGGTGGGAGATCGGCGGGTATGGGGGAAATAGAAAAGAAGTGGGAGGCGGGGAGACGCCGGGCTCGGGGCACTACGTTGCGAGGAGAAGAAGTACGCGCCTATCACATCCCGCAAATGGTCATACCTGGATAGACCGTCGACGACAGGCTGGTTGGTGGCGATCGTTAGGAATCAACTGGTGTTGCCGATATTTGTTCCTCCCCTCCGGGATTACGTACAGATAAATTAACCATGGCCGACACTAACAACGCGGAGCAGGAGAAGGCAGAAGAAGTGCAAAATGCCGAAGAACAAAAACAGGAGTCGACGCCTCCACCCAAAGAGATGAAAGCGGTGGTTTTGACGGGTTTCGGAGGCCTGAAATCTGTGAAGGTGATGAAAAAGCCTGAACCCACGGCCAAAGAGGGAGAAGTACTCATACGGGTCAAATCTGGGTAAGTCTACTCTTATCCGCGCCTAAACCCCGGCGGTCAAGTACGCGCGTACTCACCCAACGTGCCCGCTTTCCCTGGATTTTCCGTCCTTTCCGCGGGTCCATGGGGAGAAACGAGGCGAAAACCTCCGAAATTCGCCAATATGGCGCGTCGGGTGGTGCGCGTATTAGCGGACGTCGCATTGTCTGGCCGGCCGGCACCCCTCCCGGTCCCGAGACCGCCACCCTGTCATTGTGTTACTCGGTTACGGAACGATTAACGGGGGGTAACCGGCGTTAAAATCCGGTTTGGACGTCCGAGACTGGTTTCTGCTTCCGACGCGCTCGGCCACAGCGACCAGTAACCACACGCGCCTGGGTGCAACATATTTCGGCGCCATCTTGTACGTTTAAATAATCGCCTCGCAATTTCCCCTACTTTCGCCGCGGATTTTGGCGGGGGACGGCGGTTACGCGTTACTTTCGTCTAAGAGTGGCTACATTTAAGGGAGTTAACGCCGCGGTTACGCCCTCGCCCTTTCCATATGGTTCAACACACCCACTTCGGCGGGAGCAAAGTCGAACGTATTTTATCGTAACATACAAGGGTTCGTGTTTAGAAACCGGTAATTGTCAGAAATGTCAATAGCGCGTGCCGCGTTTCTATCAGTGTGGGAGGCCTTTCCGACCAGTTTACGCTCCACTGACAATTTCTATAGAAACCCAAGAATGGTTTCCGATAAGGAGGAACACCGGAGGAGTCGACGTGCGAACTATTGTATTTTTTCACTCCCCGTCTCGCCGCGTAACGCACGAAAATCGCCCGGCTAGACACCATTTACGCTCCGATAAATTCTAGAAATTCCGCAAATTTAAAGCGTTCGGCAACGATATTTTTCTAGAATTGTTGCCGGGTACGCGCGTTTTTACTCGATACGCAATAGATTTTCTCACAAGAAACGGATTCGGTTGGGTGTACTCCAGTTTTTTCTTTTTTCTACTCAGTATCTTGTGACATGTCACTTGAACCGTCGTCCACCTTGAACCATTCAAGGTCTACTGGAAAGATAACATTCAACTTGGCAATCGCCTCGAGATTTCGCGTTCTATTCTTGTCAAATATTTATCGATTGGCTCAGTTAGACCAATCTGTAAGGCCGATTAAATTTGACAACGCATAACACAAACCCGAACTTGCCAGGCACTATCAAATAACCCGGTTAAAACGCTGCGGCAACGCGTTTTCGCCTCGCTTAATAAATATTAATGTTAAAACGGGTCGGAAGATTACGCGAAATCTGCGAAGGACCAGCGTAAAACGCTTCCGATGATTCTAAAGCCGGTGAATTAATGTGTGTGAAGTTCCGGGACTCTCCCGTATCCCCCGCTCCAATGCCAAACTCTAGCCTGTCCCCCGACTGTCGCCAGGCCTGGCTTGTCTCGTGCGTATCGTTGGAAAGACGGGAACTCGGCATTCATAAAGAACGTCTGGATTTGGCAGCATTCGTTAGTGTTTCGGTAATAGTTCCATTATCAAAGAGTGCAGGAGGAGATCCGGGGGATTCCGAGCGTTTAGGAAAAATCCATTGACGTTTGGCGGCACTAGTCTCGTCCGAAAACTCGATTTTTCCCGTCTGGAGGGGTCGATTTAATGTAAGAAGTGGTAACGAATGACGAGAGAGGGCGGGAGGAGAAAAACGGAAAAATGGCACGAGAGAAACAACCCTCAACGAAGTAAATTAACGCGTGGAGGAAGGAAAATTGATTCCGAAGGTGGTCGAAATCCAGTGACGACAGAGTATTTAAATATTGACGTTCGCAACCGTTTCGAGCGTCTGGAAGGCGGTTAAAATTAGTGACTACTCGAGAAGATTCAATCCGGCAATTTAGTTTGGTTTCGAAAAGTCGGCGGTAATAATCAACAAGGCGCTCCAATTATTGCACGTTCGGAGCTCTGTTTTCGTACGTAAATCCGATCGTTAAAACACGCAAAAAGTTCTGGCAATCCGCGCTGATGAGGACGGCCAAAGTTTTGCCTCCAGCACGGATAATCGAGTACCGAGGCTATTACACGCCCGCTTCGATCAATTTCGGTTGGCAGAGGAACGTCGTATCGATGAAGACTCCGTCCAATCCTTTTATCGACGATCGAGAAGTTGTGTTTTTGATTAAACAGCAGAAAAAGAATTCTTACGTAAGCGAGTTTCCGCTTTTTTATATAAATGTAACTTGGCATTTCCGGATGTTCCCTCCCCCTCCCGGCGCAGACGGTTCGATACGTCGGTAGCGGGAGGTCTATCTTAAGTCATCTTCGACCCGTTTGTTGCCGGAAATTAAGTTTCGGAAGATGGCCGCGATTGCTAAATATTCGGACGGATCCTATGCCGGCAGTGACGTTTCGATGTAATCATGGCCGAGAAGGGGGTGGCCGCCCTGGAAATATATCGAAACTAAACCCTCGACGTCGGGAAATTATTCAAAATGGCTTCCCTTCCGTGGAGGATGGCCGCTTAAGAGATTAGAAATAAGAAAGGAAAAACGATTTTTAGCTAATTAGCTGCAAACACGAAGTTCGTTTTAGTTTCATCGCCTAATGGCAGAGCAGTTTCGTGTTTTCGCGTGAGCTTAAGCATTTAAGAGACTTATAGTAGCCTACGTCGGTAGGATCGATATCTCTCTACTAGCGAGTGGCATATAGTAATATGATGCTAACATACTACAACTAGATCGGTCTGTTGATCTGTCGGCGTTAACCCCCTCCTTTGTTACATCCCCTCTTAGCACCTAACGGATTACAGTTTTAAGTAAAGTTTCGCTTCTTATATAATGCGCGTTAAATCTCTCCTCGCCTTAACTGGCATCGTTGCATAATTTAATTAATTTACAATCGTCGGTGGTATCGCAGCTTAGTTTTCTGCTAATAACGAATTTATTGGTAAAGTTTAAAGTTTTATTAATTTTTTAACGATCGATGCCTGCTGCGAGCAGTTCTAACGCCGCACGTCCTTCTGCCGCTTATATATTTATACGTATATATATTTTAATAAAGTGTATAAACGGTAATTCGTGACCGCGTAGCAACTGGTGGACTCATAAAAAAAATAATAAATAAATAAATAAGTTGAACGTATTAATTTTTTTCGGAAGGATCGGAGCCGTCACGTCGTATTTATGCTCCGTTCGTCGCAAGTTTCTTTTTTAATTAAGAGATGAGCGAGCGAAGAAAATGAAAGTTGCGAATCTAGTTCAACAAATATTGGTTTACTGCAGCTACATGCTTTCGCGGTACAATAAACCGGATATGACGTCATAACTTCCCACCGAATCGACTTCGGATAGATAGATCCGTTAGCATTTTTTCACCAGTCTCTCAATCCGAAAAAAACGGGAGGAGAACTTCGAAAAACATCTGTGATTAATCCCGGTCTTAAGCATGGTTTATGGCATTTATTTTATATTTATTCAAAAAATATATAAGTATTTATAGACTACAAAAATAGCCTTACAAAGCCTAAACTAATATTCATCATTTGGCAATTAGAGCGGTAATTTTCGATCGAATCGGTAGTTTTGGGGGATTTTCCGCCAGATTTCGACTCCGAAGCGGTAATCGAGACGTCTGTAATTTTATATTTTGTCACTCCGGACGCTTTAAATTTTGCACCAGATGTAATTTGCTAATTAAGTTTATTGCCAGACGAATGCAGATGCGCTCATTAACTCCCTTCCCGGTTTCTCCCTCCGAACGAAAACGATGGCAGTTAAATAATGAAATATAAAAGGTCTTTATTTTCTAGTTTCACACCTTTCGGAACGTTAAAAATGCGCTTAATGCCGTTTCTTAACGTTAGAATTCCCTGTTTAGAGTATAAAAATCGGTTCCTAAGCGAATTGTTCGCCGCTCGTCCGCCTCTTAATTGACGTATCGCGGAAATTAAAGAAAATTATGTACATTTAACGAAGCTACAAAGATTTAATAACTTTCTTCGGCCTTTCGGCATGTAATTTACTCGACTTTTCTGGATTAAAAGCGCGTAATAATTTGCATAATGGTCCACATTCGCGTGTAAAGAATACAAAATAGATTTCGGATGAACATGTTAATCGTAAAAAAATGCGCATTTTCGAAATTAAACAGTCAAATTTTTCCATTTAAAGGGATAAAATACCGCAATTTGCCCATAAAAATCTGTAGAAGTTTAATCGGAGGGATCGATTCCTTACTTATTCTTATACAATGCCGTTCTGTGCGTCTTATGAGAGCACAAAAATCAAGACGAGATAATATTAAAATCACCTCTCTTAACGCTTACAATATAAATCTGAACAGATTCGAGATTCGATTCGAATAAGACTCGCAGCCTGTGTAATTGAATTGTGACGTTTAAAGTGGTCTATGGGGTATTCTTTCGGAATTAATGGGTACATTTATCATCACGTCTATAGGCGAAACGTTAATTCCTCTCGCATTTTTTCTTGTTTCGTGTCTAGTTTAGTGGCCAGATAATCAGGATTTTAGATAAGATTACAGCGTGCGTGGACATTTTTCTCCGCCGTAAATTACTATTTATATATTCAATTAATATGCCGCATTATCCGCCTAAATCCGCTTGTATTATTAAAGTCAGGGGTGGTCAACAGTTTTTGCCCTCCGGGCCGAATTGGAAAGAAAACTGTTTCCACGGGCCAAACCAGAGGCTGCCCTAGGAAGATTTTGAGGTGGTGCGAGAGCTGATTGTGGTGTCACCCGTAGAGACTGAATTGTAGATAGAGATTACAGATATATTTTTCACATTATCATGCTTTATCAACACACTACGCTGTACTTACGAGATTTGTAATGGAAGTGGAGGGTTACCTCTAAACGCACAGTTGATTTTTTTTTTAGTCGTCAGAATTTTTCATCGATCTATTCGGACTTCAATACCTTATATTGAAAGATTGATGGCGGGCCATATAAATTCATTAGACGGACCGGATCTGGCCATGCCTGATTTAAGTTTTGAATGAGTGTATAACCGT